AAAACATCGGAAAAAGCCACAAGAAGGAACAGTCTAGAATCTTCAAAGGTGTCAAAGTCTTGGAACTCAAAGAGACTGAGACACTGTTCAGATGAAAATAAAAAGACACATGTCACAATAACAAAATGCAATGCAAGCTCTCAGACCAGATCCTTTTGCCATGAAGGACATTCGTGGAAGAACTGGTGAAACGTGAATGGGGCCTGAAGATTAGGTGGTAGTAATATCTCCGTGTTAATTTCTAGATGTTGACTGCTGTATAGTTCTCCTGTTGGACAGCTGGAGGTTTCTTGTAAGATGTACACTGACGTATTCAAGAGTGTTGGAAGGCTGGGCCCAGAGGCTTACGGCTGTAATCCTAACACTTTGGAAGGCCAAGGCAGGCAGATCATGAGGTCAACAGACCGAGACCATCCTGGCCAACAGAGTGAAACCTCATATCTACTAAAAAAAAAAATACAAAAATTAGCTGGGACTGGTGGCATGAGCCTGTAATCTCAGCTACTCGGGAGGCTGGGGCAGCAGAATCGCTTGAACCCGGGAAGCAGAGGTTGCAGTGAGCGAGATCATGCCACTGCACCCCAGCCTGGTGACAGAGTCAGACTCTGTCTCAAAAAAAAGACTGATAGAATGTCATGTTAGCAACTCACTCTTAATGTTTCAAGAGAAAAATAAATGTGTGTTATACTGTGCTCCTGACTTTGCTACAGCTTGGTGAGCATTTGAAAATTTAAAAATAATGAAGAGAAGGACCCCAGCATGGTAGCTCACCCTGTAATCCCAGCACATTAGGAGGCTGAGGCAGGTGGATCACCTGAGGTCAGGAGTTCGAGACCAGCCTGGCCAACATGATGAAACCCTATCTCCACTAAAAATACAAAAAATTAGCTGGGAATGCTGGCAGACGCCTGTAATCCCAGCTACTCAGAAAGCTGAAACAGGAGAATTGCTTGAACCCGGGAGGCAAAGGTTGCAGTGAGCCAAGATAGCACCACTGCACTGCAGTTTGGGTGATAGAGTGAGACTCCATCTCAGAGAAAAAAAAAAAAAAAAAAAAATTGGAGACTAGATCTATTTTTTAAAATACAGATAGACCTAAAAAATGTTGAGGAAAAACACCCTCCTCACCCCCCACTGTCCCTACCCTACCCCCACAACAGACCCCAGTGTGTGATGCTCCCCTCCCTGTGTCCATGTGTTCTCATTATTCAACACCCACCTATGAGTGAGAACCTGTGGTGTTTGATTTTCTATTCTTATGTCAGTTTGCTGAGAATGATGGTTTCCAGATTCATCCATGTCCCAACAAAGGACACGAACTCATCATTTTTTATGGCTGCATAGTATTCCATGGTGTATATGTGCCACATTTTCTTTATCCTGTCTATCATTCTTGGGCATTTGGGTTGGTTCCAAGTCTTTGCTATTGTAAACAGTGCCACAATGAACATACATGTGCATGTGTCTTTATAATAGAACAATTTATAATCCTTTGGGTATATACCCAGTAATGGGATTGCTGGGTCAAATGGTATTTCTATTTCCAGGTCCTTGAGGAATTGCTGCACTGTCTTCCACAATGGTTGAATTAATTTACACTCCCACCAACAGTGTAAAAGTGTTCCTATTTCTCCACATCCTCTCCACCCCCATTTTTTTAGAGACATGTCAATGCTCTTATTGCTACTTCCATGTTCTCTCACCTCAAATACCAGGGCTGGTGTGTGCAATGTTCATGTGAGATCCTTCAAGGGGGGGCCTCCTCTGAGGGATGCCATTCAAATCACAGACATCTTTATTATTTAAAACATTTTAGAATATTTAAATATTAATATTTATTTATATTAAATATTATTAATATTCTATTATTCTATTGATAGAATATTTATTATTGATAGAACATTTAATATTAACTTTTGGCTCCAAAGATAGCCTTTTTACATATTTATTACAATAATCTTCTGACAAAATTTTTGTTTTAACTGAGAATATATGTGTATATGATGTGCTTTATAAAAGAGAAATGAGTATGATATGATAATCAAAAGGCCTTGCAGGACATCTAAAAATAAAGTATCCTTCTAACTAACTAGCTGCTTTTCTGACTGATGAATGAATTAGTAAGTAGATTAAAATTAAAGTAACTCTCTACTGATATTAGTGGACTGGCTAAATTTGAGTTTGGTATTGTAGCTCCTATCATCTCTGCTTTTTATATTCTATACTAAATGATGTGACAGAGTGCTCCCACAAAAATCCACAAGTAATTTCTATGTAATAACCAATATTCATCATTGTAGTCCCCAAATATTACATAGAGAAATTAATTACAGAATATTACATTACATACATTATCAAATGATTAGATATGAATAATTAGCACTATATAAACTATAATATAGTAGTTACTTGTGGAAACTTCAGTAGTATAAAAACAGACTTGTTAAAATGTAGTAGTTTTTTGTCATTCACCCTTCGAAGGAATGCAATTTACTTAGAGTAGTAATTTCACAAACATACTGCTGAAAACTTGTGTTAGCTCTCAGGAAAAAATTACCTTTATCAATAAACCAGCCTCGTCTGGGGTGACAGGTTCATTATCTTACAGGGAGATCAAGGATGCAGACACAAAGAGTGAGGTTAAGAGCTGAAGGCCGGGCGCGGTGGCTCACGCCTGTAATCCCAGCACTTTGGGAGGCCGAGGCGGGTGGATCACGAGGTCAAGAGATCGAGACCATCCTGGTCAACACGGTGAAACCCCGTCTGTACTAAAAATACAAAAAATTAGCTGGGCATGGTGGCGCATGCCTGTAATCCCAGCTACTCAGGAGGCTGAGGCAGGAGAATTGCCCGAACCCAGGAGGCGGAGGTTGCGGTGAGCCGAGATCGCGCCATTGCACTCCAGCCTGGGTAACAAGAGCGAAACTCCGTCCCACAAAAAAAAAAAAAAAAAAAAAAAAAAAAAAAAAAAAAAAAAAAAAAAAAAAAAAAAAAGAAAAAAAAAACAAACCGAAGAAAAAAAAAAAAAACCCAAAAAAAAAAAAAAAAAAAAAAAAAAAAAAGAGCTGAAATGTAACAGGCGACAAAAAAGAATAAGCTCTCCACTACGGAAAGGGTTCCCGGAAAAATGGGTTGCCAATTTGCCAAGAAATGCAGGCCTTTTATAGATGAGCTATTAGGGAGGCAGTCTGATCTACATGGGGTGTGAAAAACCAGTTAGGACCAGGTGTGCCATCTGCATAGGGCAGGAATCTCTAGCAGCCTCCACCCCAATCTTTTATTATGCAGATGGTTCTCTGCCTGAGCCTTTCCATTTTGCCCATTTCTTTCTTACTGTACACGTGCTAACAAAAAAGGGAAGATGGAGCTTCCATAGTGGACATGCCTGGCTCCCAGGTAGCCCTTTTCTATCGGCACAGCTGCCGGCATCCCCCCCCCACTTCCACCCTACGCGCCTTCGTGTGCAGGCTTCCAGCTTCCTGATCTATCTTTGCAAGGTTTGCAGCCTTTCAGGCTGCTCTTTTTTAGGAAAAAAAAAAAAAAAAAAAGATTTCTTAGGCTGCTTTTTGTTAGAAGTTCCGCTGAAGTTTTGCCTTATCTGCCTAAATTTCTTTCTATCTCCTGAATCATCAATATCAATCAGCAATGGAGAGCATAAGTTCTCAAAATTATAATTTATTTAAATTGTCTACAATGCCACAAGAAAGTCAAATCTTCTAGAGCTCTTTTTTCCTTTTCTTTTCTTTTTTTTTTTCTCTGAGACAGAGTCTGGCTCTGTCCTCCAGGCAGGAGTGCAGTGGCACGATGTCGGCTTACTGCAGATTCTGCCTCCTGGGCTCAAGCGATTCTCCTGCCTCAGCCTCCCAGGTAGCTGGGATTACAGGTGGACGCCACCATACCCGGTTAATTTTTGTATTTTTAGTAGGGACAGTGTTTCGCCATATTGGCCAGGCTGGTCTCGGACTCCTGACCTCAGGTGATCCGCCCACCTCGGCCTCCCAAAGTGCTCCGATTACAGGCGTGAACCACCGCGCCCGGCCTAGAGCCCATTTCCATAGGAAACAAGAAATTAGAGGAAGTAAGCACATAAGGATCAAGGATTTTATCTGTTATATAGCAAATTATTATATCCTGATGATTGTGATTTTAAATTTTAATATTCTATGTGTAATGGTTTACTACAAAATAAACAACATATACTCGTTTAAAACTTTAAAGAGCACCATTCTCTGACGAGCAGGATTAGCTGCGCGCACCCAGTCCTTAGTTAAGGGAGGTCAGGTTTCCCACGAAGGCAACTTCAATCTTTTGCACGTGATTGATTCACCAGGTGCGTAAAAGTTAACATGTTTAGACACATGAAGACCACCGTCGCTTCCGACGGCTTTAATGAGCATATTTTAACACATTTGTAAGTAAAGTTCATTACTGGAAAATAGGTGTCTTCTTTTCATCGCAGCAAACAAGTCCTTTCACAATATTGGTCCTAGGCCGAATAAACCCTCAAACGCTGACACTCCTCTGAGAGATGCGCTGAAACGAGAGGACTAAGAACCAGCGAGGAAGTGGAGATGCGGGAAGGCAAAGGGGGAGCTCTCGGGTGTGTGCCCGTTCCCAGAGCGGTCTCCTTCTCCGCACCGCTTAGGTTCAGCGGGTACTGGTACAAGTCTAAGTGTGAGCAAGCCCGCGTCCTGGACAGCCGCGCAGGTGCGGGGAGGCGCCCAGGTGGGCTGTCTCTGAGTGTGGGCAAGCCCGCGTCCGGGATAGGCGCGCAGGGGCGGGGAGGCGCCCAGGTGGGCTGTCTCTGAGTGTGAGCAAGCCCGAGTCCTGGATAGGCGCGCAGGTGCGGGGAGGCGCCCAGGTGGGCTGTCCCAGGCCAGATTCCCAGGAAAGCTCTCGGGGGAGCGTCCGGAGTGACGAGGGACCCACCAGGACCCCACCAGGGGCCCCAGCCGAGCGCGCGCCGCCGAGGGTGGGGGCGGGGCCAGCGCTCCGGCCACCCGGTTACCCGGCAACAGGATGCCGGGCGCGGGGCGGCGGGGCGGGTGCGTGCGGTGGCGGTTGCGAGAGAGACCCTGAGCCGCGGCGATGAGCCCGGGTAAGAGTTGGGCGGGGCCGGGCTCCTGGGAAAGCCGCGGGAACCGAGGGCAACTGAAGCGCTTTCAGCGGGCGGCTCCCTGCACCCCAAGCCCGGGACTTCTCGGGTCCGCCCTTTCGCAATCACCACACATCTCCAGCTCTGCCCTAGGGCGGAGCACCCGCTGCGGCCGCCGCGCCCGTTGTGCTTCCCGGCTAGCTGCGCCATCTGCCGCCGCTTCCCGCCCGGCGCACCCTCGGGTGGCCGCTTGCTGAAAGCGCCGCGCCCCGCCCCCGGCCCGGCCTGGCTCCGTCCCTCCGCCCCTTCCCTCTGCCCCGCCCCCGCCTGCAGCCCTGACCCCGCCCCATCGCTCCGCCCCCTCCAGCCTTCAGCCCCGCCCCGTCTTAGTATCCTCCGCCCCGTCCCAGCCTTCACTCCCGCCCCTGGCCCATCATCCGCCCCGCCCCATTCCTCTGCCCCCGCCCCATCCCAGCCCTCAGCCACGCCCCCTCCTTCAGCCTCGCCTCATCCTAATCACTCCGCCCCGCCCCAGCCTTCAGCTCTGACTCCGCCCCATTCCTCTGCCCCCACCAGCCCCGCCCAATTTCTCCGCCCCGCCCCAGCCCTCAGCCCCGCCCCGCCCCAACCCTCCGCCCCCAGCACCGCCCCGCCGCGTCCCGCGACCCAGCTGACAGGCGCCGTTCTGTTACAGAAAAGCAGCCTCAGGAAGAGAATGAAGTTGACTCCGTTCTCCTTTCAGCGTCCAAGATCCTAAATTCCGCGGAGGGGGTGAAGGAAAGTGTCGGCAGTGACACAGGTAAAATCGCCAGTTCTTAAAAGGCTGCTCTAACGGCACCCGGGCAGCAGCCCCGGCGTGCGCCCCCTGGCGGGCTTCCCACTGACAGCAGCCACCGCGGCACACGCGCCCTGTGCCAGTGCAGTTCTAAGCACGTGACGGGCCAACGCTTTCATTCTCACAACACGTATACCAAGTAGGTGCTATCACCATCCCCATTTTGCAGGTGAGGAAACGGGCACAGAGAGATTAACTCCCTAAGGTCACACAGGCAGCAAGGAACGGAGCGGGCATTCGGCAGGGCGGCTCCGGGCTCCCTGTCTTCACCACCGCGCTATGCTACGCTGCTTTTCTGAACGCCAAGTTAGAACCGTGGCGTTTTTTGGACAGACACGAAAATGATATGCAGTCAGCCCTCGGTATCTGGGAGTTCCGCATCCTTGGATTAAAACAACCACAGATGGAAAATATTCAGGGGGAAAAATTAAAAGTAACAGTACCACAATTTTTTAAATGCAAATTTTGAAACAGTGTAACAACTATTTAATAGCGTTTACATTGTATAAAGTATTACAGGTAATTGAGAGATGATTTAAAGTATACAGCAGGATGTGCCTAGAACCTATGCAAATAATACCCAATTTTGTATTAGGGACTTAAGCATCTGCAGATTTTGCTATCGTCAGAGGCTCTGGAACCAATCCCTTGTGGATATCCAGGGAGGTGTGTATACCTTTTCTAAAGAACTACTTTTTACAGTATTTGTGGACTATTGTATGGGGAGAATGTTTGAAATAGCCACATAGCTAAAGCTTTCCAGTTCCACATAAACTATGAATAAGATGGGGATACCCAGCTAGGGGACTCTAAGGACATTGAAAGTGGAGTCTCACCTCCTGGAGAGAAGCCCTAGGCGACTACACGCCTCTCAGAGAAGCCAGCTGTGAGGTGACATGCTGAGGAAGGAGCAGAGCACAGGGCAGAAGTGTCTAGACTGATGGGCCACGCACTGACCCCCAGTTGCCCCTCTGTAGGATATGGGTTATCCTGATGCCATAGTGCTGAACCACAAGAGGCCTGAGGTTGGGACAGGATTTCTGCACCTCCACCATCCAACATCTTCACCAAAAGCCTGTAGGGACCTGGAAAGAAGAGACTAGAGCAGCCACAACTCCGTAGACAGAAGACACGTGGATGCCCAGGCACCCCCAGCATGAGCAACGTCCCAGTGGAGGCCAGCAGGACAGGCACCAGCCAGTCCCCTCTCTGCCCTCCTGTCCCCATCCATGAGATCTGCAGGTTTCCAACCAGAAGGGGCAAAGGCGGCTCCTGAACGCGAAAGAAAGAGTCCTCACAGAGAGTTGAGACATTTAGGCAGCTCCATATTTCCCTCAAAGAGAGCATGTAAGATCAGAAGAAATGAAAGTACCTTAGTTTAGCAAGATCATATGTTTTCTAACATGAATGAGACTTTGGGTTCTGGAGAAACATGCCAACATTTATAGAAAATAGTTACATGCAGAATAGCACACGTACTGAAGAGTTAACGTCTTTCTTGCCAGAACACAGTGGTTACAGGTGTGGGCTTGACGCAGGACGGGTTCTCAATAAACACCAGTTGTTAGGGGCCACCCAGCAATTCCCTGCCCACAACTACAGGCAAAATTAGGAGGTATGGCTGGCGCCTTCCCTCTATTTTCCTGTCTATGTTTCATGTCACCAAGTGATGCATTCCCCAAAATAATGACCTGATTTGCATAACTATTGCCAGGTTACAAAGAGTTTTAGAATATTCCCACGGTCTCTATGGTTTCAGAACCAGTAGTTAACCTAATTAACCTTTACTGGAATGGGTTTGAGTGAGACTTTTGCATTTTTGTGAGGTTTGTGAGGATGTCCAGGGTGTTGTTCCCAGCACCCTGTTCTACCCGAGCCTTCATTCATTCGTTCGTTTTGTAGGGAACCAGCTCCCACATCACCCGTGGGTACCCCAAGTTCAATGGCGACAAAGGAATGAGAAAAAGACAGATTAAGAATGCAAAAAGTGGGACCAGGGGGCCGTCACTTGCACTGGGGGCAGTGAAGGCCTTGAGCTCTGATCTCCCACAGTATTTATTGGTTACAATCGCTTTGATCTGCAGGGTAGGCGGTGGAGTGATCGTGGGGAGAGGCTGTTGTGATGGTGGGGTGAATCAGTGAGCCGGAAGTGAATCAGTGGCTGGAACTGGTGTGTCATTCTAAAGATTGGTAACAGTGGCCGTTTGGGAGTTTCACAAATCAAGAACACGTGGTTATCTTCAGCCTCTTATCTATGTGCAGCTGGTGGAATGTGGGCCTTACAAGAAGCCTACAAGTCTGGTTACATCCTTAGTGCTACGAAGGGGTTTTACGTCCTTGAGCTCAATGTCTATGGTAACAGAGCCGGGGTCACCCTGCACGGGAACATGAGGCGTGGAGTTTGCCTCCCCAGAGGCCTCCCGCAGTTTGCCATGGTTTGTTGTTCCCAGTTTGTATGTTACTCATAACCAATTTATGTAGGCCCTCTGTAAGCCCTTTCTCCTTTGCTGCTTCCCCCAACACATTTGTGGAGCATATTCTTTTGAGCACCTGCTAAGTTTCAAGTGCTGTTCTAGGGACCCAACAGTGAACAAGACGTGCAAGATTCCCTACCCACGTGGAGTTTACCTTCTAGTGAGGGAACAGACAGACAAAGGATATTGTGTGTAAGCGGGGAATAAATCCTATGGAGAAAATAAGGCTGAGAAGAAGCGGAGGAATATTTGGAGTGGCAGAGGTGGGTGGGAAGTGTGTAATTTTAAACAGGGGGGTGGGAGAAGGCCTCACTCAGCAGGTCACATCTGAGCCAAGACCAGAAGGAGGTAAAGAAGCAATCAGTGGCCAGGCGTGGTCACTGATCCCTGTAATCCCAGCACTTTGGGAGGCCAAGGCAGGCAGGTCATGAGGTCAGGAGATGGAGTCCATCCTGACCAACATGGTGAAACCCTATCTCTACTAAAAATACAAAAATTAACTGGGCGTGATGACGCATGCCTGTAGTGCCAGCTACTCGGGAGGCTGAGGCAGGAGAATAGCTTGAACCAGGGAGTCAGAAGTTGCAGTGAGCTGAGATCACACCACTGCACTCCAGCCTGGTGACAGAGCGAGACCCTGTCTAAAAAAAAAAAAACAATCAGTGCAGATTCCTAGGGAAAGAGCATTGCAGGCAGAGAGAATGGCAGCTGCAAAGACCCTGGCGTGGGAGCATGGCTGGTTTGATTGAGAAACAGCTCTCGTAAATGGAGCAGAACAAGCAGGGAAGCGTAGGAGGGAGGAGCCAGGAGGCGGCTTTGTAGTTCCAGGGATGAATTTGAGATTTCTTCTGAGAAAACTGAGAAGCACTGGAGAATTTTGAGAAGGCTTCTCTCCCCTCCATCTTGACTAGAAATTTTGAATTTACCAAATTATCATCATATCGCCTCTGCAGTAATGAGTTAGTGTCTCTTGAGCATTCACTAAGGCCATATACCTCCACATGGGCTTTACCTACAAACTGGACACTTGCCTAGAGTTATCCCCTCACTGTGAGTGTGTGGTAAAGCTAGGATTCAAATCTGGGCAGCATGCAACCTGCTCTATAGCTCCTTGCATAACGACTGTGACAAAGCCTCATGCAGAGGGTGCCACACCTCACAAGGCTTTGTAAGACAGGGACATCTGGGAATGAACTTGAATTGTCATAGCAGAACTCAGTATTAGAACCTGTGGCCAGGCACGGTGGCTCACACCTGTAATCCCACATTTTGGGAGGCCAAGGCAGGAGGATCACCTGAGGTCAGGAGTTTGAGACCAGCCTGGCCAACATGGTAAGACCATGTCTCTACTAAAAATACAAAAATTAGCTGGGCATGGTGGTGCATGCCTGTAGTCCCAGCTACTCAGGAAGCTGATGCAGGAGAACACTTGAACCTGGGAGGCAGAAGTTGCAATGAGAAGAACCAAAGAATGACAAAGAGAACCTGGAATTCTATGTAGAATCGTGACCATGTTGCATTTGCAGAAATTTGTTCCTCTTGCTCTATTTGTTGCAGGTATGCAGATGTCAGTTTTTGTGTACATTGCATACAATATTTTTTGCGGGCTCAGAATAAGAATTACCTCAAAAGTCATCCCATTGATAACTATCTTGTTTTTCACGTTTGACACAAATATGAAGCCGCTGGAAAACTTAAGTTGAATGTAAGATGAGTACTATTCCTTACATTCCCAATAAACTCTAATCTTGGTGGGTGGGAACCTGTCTTCCGCTTTGTTTATATACCTCCCAGTGTTGTACATCTAGCAGGGACTTGGTAAATGGTGAACTGTGTGTTTTATCTCCTGGGTTCTTTGACATTTTCCCTTCCAATTCTAGAATCACATAATTCTGTGTGACTACATTTTGCTGAGTTTCAAAATTACCTTTCCTTTGGGAATAAGGAGCAGCTGATGTCTCTGAAACTCATAAGAAAAACAGAAAGTTATGTAGCTTTTAAAAATAGATGACTCCAACTCCCTGCCTACTTTCTGCCTGCACAGAATCATTTGAACATTGCTGGAGAAAAACACTCACTTTTGAGTCATACCATGAATCTAAAATGAGCCCTCAGTGCTATTGGGAAAACTTACTTTATTTCCACAGCAAATTCTTTTTCAAATCCTCTGCAAGGAAGTGATTTCACTCTTCCTGTTCTCAAGTCTTGAACACCTTTCTCCCTGGCCTCTCCAGTCATAACACGGTCCCCCACTATGTGAAAAAATTAGAAGTAGTCAGACCCAAACTCCTTTATTCTCAACCTTCACATTTGTGAAACCACGTGCCTGGGTACCCACATTCTAAGCCTTCTCCCATTTCAACAGAAGAATTGTCCTTCATCAATCAAATGTTATTTCCTTTGGATCTCATCTCTTCTGGAATTCTCAAGTACCCAGCTTCTGTAATTAGCTTCCCTCATTGTCCAGAATTATTGCTTTTCTCCCTTTCTGCTATGTGATTCCAGCGGCAAACAAGCATGTTAGACTGTCCTGTGGTTTCTTTTAAAAAAATCCTTCTCTTAGCCAGGTGTGGTGGCACACGCCTGTGGTCCCCACTACTCTGGAGGCTGATGTGGGAGTGCGACCAGGTTTGGGGGTGCTGGGGAGGCACAGCTCCCCAGAGAGGATGTTATAGGTTCTTGGTCTCCCACTCTCAAGAGTAAGAGGGGACCACAGCACACTGCACCCGTAAAGTAAATACCAGACCAAAAAAGAGTTTGCAGAAAGGGATTTATTTAGGTAGAGAAAGAGAAAAAGGAGAAGGGAGAAAACTGAGAGAGAGAAAGAGCATGGAAGGGGGTCCAAACATGGAGTCCAAAGGGCTGTGGAGGAAAGGGGCTTTTAACCCGGGAGGAATTCCTCCCTCTCCAAGCCTCCTGGCCAATGAAAGGAGTTCCTTAGAACTTCCGCTGGAGTGATTGACTTTTGACCCTTTCCCATGCACGCCAAAATTAAAACAGAGACTGTTAAATCTCCCGGATGGAGAGGCATGGGAATGGGGCGTGGCGCCGGAAGTTCTTGCCCTTAAAACTACGCCCCCTTGTGGGCCGGGGAAGAGAACACATTCCCTCAGGAGGATCGCTTGAGCCTGGGAGGTGGAGGTTGCAGTGAGCCAAGATCATGCCACTGCACTCCAGCCTGGGCAACAGAGGGAGACCCCATCTCAAAAAAAGAAATAACAATCCCTCTTGACCGTCACATCTCTTCCAGGATGCACCCTCGTCCCTTCCACAGTAAAACTAGAAGGAGCTACCTGTCCTCTATGCCCACCAAGCTCCACATTCCATTCTCTCCTCAGGCACTCCCTTCCAGCTTCTCTGCATGTTCTCCACGTGGCCGGCAGTGACATCCATGTTGAATGTTGTGTAGATTGCTGCTCCCATGAGCCATACACTGGTAGACCCACCTCACTGTTGGACATCTCTCCTTCGACGTTGAATAGACAACCTAGCCTTGATGTATCTAAAAATGCTTTTCTCCGAAAGCATGTTCCTACTCTGTTTTCCCTCAGAAAATTGTATCTCCACTCATCCATCTGCTCTCACCAATCAACCAGGAGTCATCCTTCATTCTTCTCTCCTGGCCCCAGCTAACCCTCCAGCAATGCTGCTGGCCTCATCTCCAAAGTATATTCTGAATCCACCTGCTTTTCTCCATCTCCCTGACCACCATTCTAGCCCAAGACATCGTCATCTCCACTTGCATTATTGCAATAGCCCTGCAGTTGCCTTCTCACCCCCGCCCTGTAATCCGTTATCATGTAGCAGAGTAACTCGTAAACTTTTCAATGAGATCAAATCATTCTCATGATGGAAACCTTCCAGTGTTCCCTATTTCATTTAAAGGAAAAGCTAACCTGCTCAGCTTGGCCTGGAGGCCCTGCTTAATCTAGTCCCTGTCTCCTGCTCCGATGTCTCCCCACCTTGTGCCCCTGTGAGTTCATTAAGCTGCTTAGTTACAGTGCAATCACGCTGTGGCCAAAAAAGGAAGAAGAGATGGAAGATGAAACATATATGTAGACAACGTGTATAAATCCCATTGCTTTCTTTAAAATCTTTTATTTACTGTATCCCTCTATCAAGTCTGTACATTTCTTTTGGTCCCATATGATTTGGTTTTAGCTAAAGGAATCCTACATTTAGCTTTGAACTTGCAAATCCTCCTGATGAAATCTGTACAGAAAAAGGAGGCTGTTGCTGTAGGTGTAGGAAGGAGACAGAATTTGGAAGTTACATCATTCAGAATAAAGCTGAAGGCTGAAAATATTTACGAGAATGATATCCTATCTTTGTGTTTAAATAAAGAGCTGTGTGGAAATTACAGTTATAGAACATCATAAAACTTCACAGTATAAAAACAATGTAACTAGCAAATATGAAAAGGAGGAGTCTGTATGAAGGAAATAGAATGCTCATTTTCTCATCTCGCTTGGCAGGGAGTAAGTCAACACTGAATATCAGAACTGTATATTATTGAAACAATAAAGATTTCAATCTGTTAATTATTTTTATTTTTATTTTCATTAGTTTACAGGGATCTCTTAGGAAACAGTGTCTTTCATGTAGTAAAAGAAAATCTGAATACTAGAAATAGCTTCCACTATTTGCAGTTTAAAAAAATTCTCTTAAATTCAAGTAAACATAGGTACTATTTATGTAAAATGCCATTTATGTGTAAAATAATCCCACTCTCTCCACATATCTGCATGGAAAGCGGACTGAAAGATGGCTACCTAAAATTAACAACAGTTAGTTTTGGGTGGTGGGATTCTAGTGATAAATTCTTTTTGATTTGCACTTTGGTCTAGTTAAGTTCACTAGAAGATGTTACTTTAGAGTCTGAACAACTTTGTGATTCCTTTTCGTAGTGGTCCCAGTCTTCCTTCAGTTCCTTATTTTTTAGTTGAACAGTTCAGGATACCAGGAGTTTAGCTGCCATTTTATTCCCACCAAGAGGCAAATCTAAGCAAGGTCCAGACAGCCTCACTCTCCCTCCCCGCCCTCTGACTGAAGGTGGGCTTCTTCAATAGCCAGGCAGCTTTGGGCTCCAAACCAGTGTTGCTTTTTTGGTGGTAAGGGCCACAGGGCAGAAGGGGTGCCTGTGCTTTGCAACCAACTTCTCTAACATCTGACAGACTGCCAACCCAAAGAAGAGTTGCTGACCTCTTTAAACACTTAGGGCAGAAATTATCAGCCTAAGAGAACCTTCAGTCACAGCTCTCATTTTATTTAGGGCTCAGAAAGCTTTTAATACACTTACAAAGCAGTAGCCTGACATTCAGACAAAGAGGATGTCAGGAAATTTGCAAACATTATATAGTCTCCCCCTGTTGCAGATCTATAACCTGTGCAGGAATGTGTCAAGCAAGTGACATTCTGCCTATTATCAAAAGAAGCTGGAGCACTTCTGTCTACTGTATCTTAGTATCAGAGTCACCAAAGAAAACTCAAAAGTCAGGCACTGGATGGAACCATGCTTTACTCACGTAGCGAAGAGACAGAGCAAGATCAGCCTCAGTAGTGGGTATTGGTTCCCCACGGCCAGAGGGCCCCTCCTGGGCTGTCTGCTGTCTATCTAGCAGGCGGCAGATAGAGTAGTGAGGTTGACCAGGCACCAGATGACGCACACGCTTAAACAGAACAAAAGCGTACACGCTGAGTCTGAAGCAGGGAGTGCTATCCCCACACACGGTAGCAAGTCAGCACAGGCTGTAAGGACTTTAGAAAGAGTCCTCTTGGTAAAGAAGTGTCCAGGCCCGGGCGCATTCATACATGGCCAAGAGGGGATCTAAAGAATGTATGTGAAACCGCCTTTCCCAAGGGAGGCAACATGTGGGTGTGTTGCTTAAGAGCAAGACAAAAATTATGCTGTTGATGCACCTTGGTTTCCGTAAGGGGGAAAAATGTCATATGGAAATTTCGTAGAAATTGAGGCCTATATACAACTTTGCCGAGGGCTTCCCATAACATGAGGATTATTCTTTTTTTTTAATGTAGTTTATATCCTAGAAACAAAGATATTTGATATTTGAGTTTTTGAGAGTTGTAAGTGTGGCGTTGCAAATTAATGTTGTACTCTAAAAGTAAAGACACTATTACAACCTCAAGTGGATATTTTAAGGCAAGTGAGAATTATCTCTTAAACTTATTATGGGGCTAGCATAGTGTCTATGTTCTCATTATCTCTGTCTCACTATCCAAGAAAGTTAGGAGACTGCTTTCTATTACAGGTATTAAAAAATAAAATTGGGAATTAAGTCATATGGTTTTTTTCAATTTTGCTTCTTAGAATATGGCTGCATATCAGAATCAGAAAATCAAATCCAACCACAATCAGCATTGAAAGTGAGTCTGTATTTCATTTTATTATCTCCAAAATCCTGGTAAAGGCTGATCTTTTTCAGAATAAATATTCCCTAAATGCATAAATGGGTTTTTCCACTTTCTTTTCTTTTTCTTTTTTTTTTTTTTTTTGACGGGGTTGCCCAGGCTGGAGTGCAATGGCGCGATCTCGGCTCACCGCAACCTCCGCCTCCTGGGTTCAGGCAATTCTCCTGCCTCAGCCTCCTGAGTAGCTGGGATTACAGGCACGCACCACCATGCCCAGCTGATTTTTTTTTTTTTTTTGTATTTTTAGTAGAGATGGGGTTTCACCATGTTGACCAGGATGGTCTCGATCTCTTGACCTCGTGATCCACCCGCCTCGGCCTCCCAAAGTGCTGGGATTACAGGCTTGAGCCACCGTGCCAGGCCTCACTTTATTCTCACAAAGATCTTCAGGAAAGCACATTAGGGAGTTAGCAAAATGACTAAAGATGTGAACCACCTGACCCTCATGGGATCCTTTCAAGTAATAGGCAACTTTGGGAGACATGAAATCATAACAATTCAAGAATATGTTTACCCACCTAAAAATATTCAATTTAATGCTTCACTTTTGTATAGGTCCTTCAGCATCAGTTGGAATCATTTCAGGCTTTGAGAATGCAGACTTTGCAGAATGTTAGCATGGTACGTTTCTTTTACTCTACATATGAAATATCTAACCTAGAAGTATCATCTCATCTTCTAAGCTGATGTCACTAGCCAATGGATTAGCTGACTCAGAATTTAACATAATAGAGGGCACAATATATTCTAGGCTCAAAATTTATTTTAAGGAAACTACATGCTTCTCTCTGTTACACTTGTGTTTGCAAACAAGCCAAAAGACATAGTACTCGCTGATTTTTTAAATACACATTTAGAGTCTATATACAGATTACAAATAGGGACCCTCATGACAAGTGACATAAAATCTAATTCAAACTGGCTTAGAGAAAAAATATACTTTAACAGCTCAAGCAAATGAAAGTCCTGGAAAGAGCTCACTTCAGGACGGCTGAGTCCCCGTGATCAGGTCTTGAGTTGCCGGAACAGGTCTCTATCCTGATTCTGCTTCCCACAGTAGGGGATTCTCAGACTTCCTGTGGTGGCAGAATATCTGCTAGAAGCTCCAGTTCTTTCTCCTTCCAAATTCAAGTCAAAGAAGAAAGTACACTTTGCTTGGAGATGGAGTCTCACTTTTGTCACCCAAGCTGGAATGCAGGGGTGCGATCTTGGCTCACTGCAACCTCTGCCTCCTGGGTTCAAGCAATGCTCCTGCCTCAGCCTCCTGTGTAGCTGGGATTACAGGTGCTCGCCACAATGCCTAGCTAATTTTTGTGTTTTTAGTAGAGACAGGGTTTTACCACATTGGCCAGACTGGTCTTGAACTCCCAACTTTAAGTGATCTGCCCACCTCGGCCTCCCAAAGCGCTGGGATTATAGGCGTGAGCCACCGCACCCAGCTACACTTTGCTCTTAATAGTTTAGACTGAGGTTCCCGGCCTGATTCAGATTGTCCCCCACTGGGTCACATGCAGTGCTTGAACCAATCACTGTCAGGTAGCTGCTGTTTCTTGACTGGTTAGCACTCGGTTGGGTGGCCCTGGGAGTTAGAGGCAGAATCAATACTATTATAAGCACGCTTCATCCAGAAGAAATAAGAAGTATAAACAGAAGGCTAGAGTGTGGATATTGGGGGTACATAACACACACGTATTCTCTAAAGACCCAATATAAACTTCATCCCAATGTTTCTTCACTAAAAGCACCTGCAAGGAAATGAGAAGGGGAGGTAACTCCTAAGGGTGACAGAATAGATTCCAAAGGTCTCTTATTAAACAATGAAAAAATCAGACATCTCAAATCATTTGAATATAGTTCATAAAACTTTGTTTTACTAGGCTGGGAGTGGTGGCACACGCCTGTAATCCCAGCACGTTGGGAGGCTGAGGCAGGCGGAATGCCTGAGCTCAGGAGTTCGCGACCAGCCTGGGCAACACGGTGAAACCCCATCTCTACTAAAATACAAAAAATTAGCCAGGCATGGCGGCATGAGCCTGTACTCCCAGCTGCTTGGGAGGCTGAGGCAGGAGAATTGCCTGAACCCAGGAGGCGGAAGTTGCAGTGAGCCGAGATTGCACTACTGAACTCCAGTCTGGGAGACAGAGAGAAACTCCATCTCAAGCAAAAATAAATAAATAAAAACTTTGTTTTACTAAATTGTTTCTGATTTTATAACAATAAATGCATAATTTTCTTGAAGATTAATGATAGAGATTACAATAAATTAAGTAGCTTTTATTTCTATGTGATGGGAAAGAATTTTTATGGGCAGGAAATTTAAATTACATTTTAATTACAATGTCTATTATTTTAATTACAATGTCTATTATTACAATGTCTTTTAATTACAATGTCTATTATTACAATGTCTATTATTTAATCTTTTAATTACGTCTATTATTCCTGTACGTTCAGAAGTTTACAAATCTGAAATCAAATTTTTCTCAATTTGTCTTTTAAAGGTACAGTCGGAAATCAGTGAAATATTGAATAAAAGTATTATTGAAGTAGAAAACCCACAGTTCAGCTCAGAAAAAAATCTAGTGTTTGGCACGCACATCGAAAAGGATTTGGTATGTCATTCTGCAGAAATGATTTCTATATGTAGGTACCGCAAAATGTGACTACCGTCAGTTTATCTGCACTTTACATGATCCCCCTTTTTACAGGAAAATGGACCATCAGAGACGAAAATAAGGAAACCCCAGTCCTGAAAACCTTAAAAGATGTGTGTTTACTTTGTACTTTTGCAATTTTCCCATTTCCCTTAAGAGTCTGTGCAGGACATTTGACATTTGTTCAGATCCTGAAAGATTCCCAAGTAAACTCAAATACTAGGCAGTTTTTATAGCCAATCTATTCACTTAGGATTGGCCTAGGTGTGAGGTAAATTCCCTAGAAAAGCTCCAAACCAGAGTTACCATCTCTGTGTCCACAGATTCAAATTCACACTTCCAGGATAGTCACAGTCCTAAAATCATCTGAAACTAGGAATTGCCCAGAATTGGAAACATTCGTTTTCCCAAAACTCCCATTTGACCTGTTGGTTCTATCTTCCCCACCTACTTCTGATGGCCTCTTGAAGGACGCTAAATGTCTACACTTCTGAAATTGAGGGAATGGCCCATGTATTTCACCCCTAAGGAAATAAGAGCAAGTTCTAAGCAAATTGTGAAGACCAGAGTTACAGACCTCAAAACAACTGTTGAAGGAAATCAGTCATACTCGTTACGCTCCTTTGCTGTGGAAACAGATAAAATGCTTGTTTAGAGCCGGGCGCGGTGGCTCAAGCCTGTAATCCCAGCACTTTGGGAGGCCGAGGCGGGTGGATCACGAGGTCAAGAGATCGAGACCACCCTGGTCAACATGGTGAAACCCCGTCTCTACTAAAACTACAAAAAAATTAGCTGGGCATGGTGGCGCGTGCCTGTAATCCCAGCTACTCAGGAGGCTGAGGCAGGAGAATTGCCTGAACCCAGGAGGCGGAGGTTGCGGTGAGCCGAGATCGCGCCAT